AGCACCAACATAAATAATTCTTGAGCTTTAAAGTATGTCAACTTTCTTCAAAATTCACAGCCCCCCCACCCAAATTAAGGCGATAACTGAAATAATAAGTTTCCTCCAAACATAAAAAAGGAAAACAAAAAAAAATACCAAAAAACAATCTGCTCCTTGATGTTATTTGATGAAGAAGAAAATATATTGACACATATTTTTCGGTATAAATGGCACGCACCGTAGGGCCTCAATTTCCATACTACGTGTTGTCCTTGATTTCACTAAAGGTGCGCACACGGGTGTAAGCCTGTAAGCTGCGCCAAAAATTTCAATATTGCACGGACAGCTTTTCATTTTTCCTGAAAACTTCCCATGGAGAATTGGCTTCTTGTTTAGGTCTTTATCCATTGTGCCTCCCGTCTTTGGGACCCCTGTTTTTGGGGCTCTCGTCTGTCGAATCCTCGTGTCTGGGATCTCCATCTTGGTCTCCATACTAGGTTATAGGAATATATCAGCTGATGAGTTAACAGTCCTCATGCCGAGGGACATTTTTCGTGTGTCCTTTTTTCGTGTGTCCTTTTTTCGTGTGTCCTTTTTTCGTGCTAGTAATCATTTTCCATGATGCTTTCCAATTCCTCTTAGAACTCCAACTCCTTTTTCCTCCTCCCTTCTCCGCCTTCTCCTCCATCTTCTCTCGAGATATTCCTGCTCCCTCTAAGCACCAGGTCAAAAGCCTCTTTTCTTCTTCCCAGCCAACCTGATGTACAACATAGAGAATGCAGGGGGTAAATTAAACCTGTTTAAATCGAAAGGAACTATGTGCGTTGAGACATGGGCCATGATATCTACAAGAGTACACGAAAACCTTTCAGATCAAACTGTATCCATACCATAAGCTCCGAGACCTCCTAAATTTGCGTATCTGATAACAACGCTTAGTTCCAGTGTTCTACCGCGCCAATTTTCATAATTTTTGCGGTATTTGTTAGGCAATTGTCTCAAAATGTGCCCGCTGTATTCAATTTTGAAAATATGACCCAAGTTTTTTTTATAATACGTAATAATGTTGCGAATTTTCCCATTTAAACAATGTAAATTTTTATTTTTTGTCACAGTTCGTTCGGGCGTTTTACTGGGCCGATTGCCATGATATTTGCGGTCATTGACAAGTGATTGTCCCTAGATGAGCCCGCTGTAATCAGATTTTGGAAATAGTACCCATGCTTTTTTATATGATAGTAGATCAGGGAGCTGAAAAAGGAGGGCAAAATTTGAAATTTAGCGGAAAATTGATCAAGGCGGGAAATGTTGATTCTATGGTCTGTAAGTGGGGTATAGGTAAAGTAAGTAAATCGAAGGGACGCTCCTTCGCTACAGACTTTATGGACGTATTTCTGTCAAACGGAACTATGTGCATTACGACGTGAGCCCTGTTACGCGTATATTCCTATGAGTCTCAGGGCTCATGTCTAAATGCACGTAGTTCCGTTTGACAGAATTACGTCCATATATCCAAAAGCGACGAAACGCTCCGTTCCGATCGTTCCGTTTCCAGTGGCGTGGCGTGCTTCGCGATATATCGATTGTTATGCAATTTAAACCCATGGTAAACAATCGATTTTAATGGTGATCGCTGCGAACACCCTGTTTATCGACCCTTTTCCATTAGTTTAAATGGCATAACAATCGATATATCGCAAAGCATGCCACGCCACTGTCCGTTTCGTGTAAGTCTTGGCGTGAAGTTTGAAGTAAATGACGATTTTTTTCCTGCGATTCTTATTGGTCCAATCGTTCCCGGTCATAAGGAGCTTGGACAAATGAGATCTCGGTATGAAAATCTTTCCTTTTTTTTGGGTCGTTCTTTTGTGGAAGCGGGCCTAAGAGAAGTGCGAAGCGCCCTCTGGAGGTTGGGCCGCGTGGTGGCCATGAGACACAGCCCTTAGTACACGTATAAGCTGTTTGCTCGGAAATTCGCGAGAAAGATAACACATATCCTAAATAAGGAACCACTTGAATCTCGAATCTCATGTTGATAGCTGCAAAAGATCGGCAGCTATGATTGTTTGTTGCTCGAAATTTGACCTATCAGTGCATTTCCGAACAAACCGCGTAGGCGCATACCATGCCTTTGCTCGGACACTCTGTTCACAGTGCGATTCATGAATGGTTTACGTTTTACCGTACTGTTTAACCCACAGGAATAATTTTCAAGGGGAGGTGGGAGGTGAAACATCCATTAATGAACTGCTTATGAATGACCCCCACTTTACGGCTCTGCGTTTACCGTTTATCGAACAGCTAACACTAAAAATTAGTGCATCTAGCCTTTTTTGGAAGTTCAGAGCCACAGGACTGATACCTTTGATAGAGGTGTCGTCAGCTAAGTTGACGGTTGTTTACTTTCGGTTTGCAAGCGCCAACGACGAATTTGGGCCTCTGAACAAAGCGGCGTTCGCTACTATCCACACTGAAAACATCAGTCTCATGATCGTATCGTAAAAAAACTACTTTTATTAGTTATGATGATTTGCGACTTTTTTGTAGTTGTGATTTCTGTGTGGCTAAAAATTAAAGTATTACAAGGTTTGAAAGTATTAAAAAACTTATCTAAGCGTGTGTTCTTGCTTCTGAGAGTCAGATGTTTTCATGTGGATAGTAGTGACGCGAAAACGCCTGCAAACCGAAAGTAAACAACCGTCAACTTAGCTGACGACACCTCTAGCATCAGTGACGGATCCAGCAAATTGGCAACATTGTTTTTTCTCCATTTATACCTATGGAAGTGTATCGATTCTTGAGGGAGCCAGGTGCTCCGACAAGAATCGATTATTTAACATGGGTTTAAACGGAGGAAACTCTATTTTGTCAAATTGTTGGATTCGCCCCTGAATAGCATGAAAGAAAAATTATTTATATTAACTCATATTGCATCTATTTAAGCTTCCCCCTCAAAAAAACACCCTATTTCTGAGAAAACAGCGTGTAATGTAACTTCAAATATTAATGATTGCAGACCAGAAATATATACTTCTATTTTGGATGGATTTCAGCCTACAGTGATATATTTGATAGGAAAAAACCATTTTAGAATTAGTTCCGACGACACACCGGAACTGGAGTATAAATGAAAAATTCAAATACGATTTTCCGACACCTGCTTTTTTCTCTTTACGCTGTTTGGTCGGGAAAGTCCTCACAAGCAATGTCCCAATGCACGTATTTCATTTTAATTTAATTATTTCCAACTATAAAAATAAGTTATGATAAGATATCGATCAAAATTTCGGCCTGTCGATAGCCGCAAAAATCATGAAAATCGGCCCGGTAGAACACTGGAACTAAACGTTACCAGATATGCAAAAGGAGGTCTCGGAGCTTATAATATGGATAGCCCGTACCTACGGTCTCCGACAGAGTATGGCCATTTCTGTTCCGGTTTTTCATTGGTCGCGAGCGAATAGGCTGACACGATGCTCTTAGGGCCGTAAATAAACAAACAAGATGGCCGTTATCAGCAAGCAAGATTGAGGTTATGCACATCTTACATCCTCCTGTGATAAAGGTGAAAGGCAATTTAACAATGGTTTCATGTGTTTTTCGTGTGCTATTCGTAGATATGCTCGTTTAAATTGTTACTGCCGCATAATTGAAATTTTTGTCAAATTTAGCTTCTCATCGATGTTACGGTGAGCCGCCATCTTGTTTGTTTATTTACGGCCCTAAGAGCATCATGAAGCCTAAAAACTCGTTGACCAATCAAAAAGCGGAACAGTTTTCCTGTAGTAAAAAGATACGAATGGCCATACCTTTACGGTCTCCATGCCCGCAGTTTTCTTGGTGTGCTCGCAGTGTATAGAGCTTTAAAAAAGTAGCAACGCGAGCAGGAGCTTCATAATCTCTCCCGATCAGAAGTTATTGCTGCAGAGGTAGAGTCCACGCCAAATAAGCTCACGCACTTAGACTGCGACAAAAGATTGTCCGACGTCACTTTAGCATTGAAAGTAAATGCACTAATCAAGATGGTGGATCTTCTATTCTTCTAATGCAGTCTAAAAGTGCTTTAACTTACTTGGCATATAGACTTTGTCGTCTTTGACCACCCCTTCAGTGTCATCTGCCTACATATTCCTAAAGGTATCGAAATTGCATACGACGGTGCAAGTCGGCAATCACATAACTCGGCTTGCGACGTCGCAGACCTCCTGTCATACTTTATTTTTTAAATGGAAAACTACTCAACGGCAATTCTTTAAAACTGTCATGATTTTTCTTCCCAATGCGAAGAAAATTCTGCAAAAACTTCAAGAAATAATGTCAATTTGCTCTCCTTTAAAAAAATGACGTAGAGGTGGAAATTTTCAGACACCGCAAACGAGTTATGTGATTGCCGACTTTCACCGTCGATATATGTATAAATAGGGATTCGGAATGACTTATTATCAATTAAAAACATTATAAAAGCATTATATAAAAGGGGATGGCGTTATGTTAGGAAAGCCTTTTTTTGCTCTCTGCGACATGCATCAGAAATTAAGTTTCAACCGTAGGCTCTTAACTTTAGGAAATACTATATGTATATGTATCTAGCATTTTAGTTTTCATACAGCAATACGAAACTGGCAGAACTTGTTCCCATCTTTTTTGCAGCAGGTAAAGCCGACCAAATGGTTGCAATGGCCGCGTTTTTTCTCAGGTATATCGTTGAACCGGTTCATTGCTTTACGACATGCTTCCCATCCATGATGTTCGAGCTGACATGGATCGTTTTGGTAGTATTCCTGTAGTTCCTCCTTCACCTGCTTCAATTTCTGAAACCATAATGGTAAAAAGTCTTTCCAAATTTTTTCAGACATAAGTATGTGGTAGAATGTTTTAGTGACGTGATCAAAAACTTCAGAATAGGAAGGATATGAATGGTGTCATTTAGACTAACACTGGGACGAATTGACTGGGTTCAGCAGAAAGAAACGAATTGTGCGGATACTTTTATAAAACTGTTTAGGTATCTACAAACCAGAGGCGAGGCATGCTTTGCGATATATCGATTGTTCTGCTATTTAAACCTATGGTGAAGAATCAATTATTAAGGTGTTCGCTGCGAACACCCTGATTATCGATCCTTTTCCATAGGTTTAAATTACATAACAATCGATATATCGCACAGCACGCCACGCCACTGCTACAAACAACAACGCGAACGTCGTTTCTAAAATAAGTTGTTTTTTAAAAAATGCATGTATATATAAATTCTCGTATACATATATTCTCTCTTTGCTAAACCGTTTACAAAAGGTAGAGATAGGCTTGACGAGTCAGGCAGGCAACGTCATAATAGCATGTTCTAAAAGTTCATACGGGTTGGCTAAAAAATACCTCGACAGAGGAGTGATGAAGTGATCACTTTTCTGTGTGCCACTGCTTCTTATTAAGGTGATTCGATGGACGCCATATTTTGTGTCAGAACGTCATGCGATATATCGCATCGATTGGTCCCATTTTTTCAGCTACTCGTCATCTTTCTCGAATTTTGAGGTAGCAATTCTGTTGCAGCTACTCGTCATCTTTCTCGAATTTTGAGATCGCAATTCTGTTGCCAAGAGACTAAGGAATTCACTTACCAATTTTGACAAACAAATTCAACGTATTAGGAGCGTGGTTTTTATAGAGGAAAAATATCACATTCGAGTGCAGTTTCGATATCAATATCGAATGCAATATTTTTCCTCTAAAAAAACCACGCCCTTAATACGTTGAATTTGTTTGTCAAAATTGGTTAGTGAATTCTTTGGTCTCCGGCAACAAAATTGCGATCTCAGAATCGAGAAGAATGCTAGTAGTTGAAAAAATGGAGCAAATCGATGCGATATATCGCATGTCATTCTGACACAAAATATGGCGTCCATCGAATCACCTGCTGGGTTGCCTGCTGGAAGTATGGTAGAAGAACCGTTGTGCCGATTTGATCCATCTCTCTTTTTTTTTCTTCAATTTTGAAGATATATTGTATTAAAGCTAACTTTTTCCATCGTACCACCTCCAAAAATCAGGAAGACCACTTGTTAAATTGAAAAACTTCAAGGCAGAAAATTATTTCTCAAAAAATTTTAATTTATCCTAGAATCCAGGAAATTATGCCCATCTTTATCACTACACGGAAAAAACGGTTTTAGGATCGGGTACTGCGGCGCAGGGCCCGGCCCCAAACCCGGGTAGGTGAAATTGCTTCACCTAAACCTCGGAGGGTCGGGCCCAAGCTGAAGGTAGGGTCCAGCCCTACCTGCATATCGACGCCAAGCGTAAAAAATCCGTGCCCTCGCGTGGATTCGAACTCGCATCGCAGAGATGGTAGACCAGCGCGGTACCACCAGGCTACGAGGCCTCGACGATTGAGGCAGCGAATTTACGCCTGTTGAGTGCAATTCCCCCTCTCGGCATATCAATGACACCTGATCATACGGGCATCAGTCAAGGCGGATAAAGAATGGTGGTCGCATTTCGATTTTGGCTGCCATCTTGAAGCGTTGTGACGTCAGGAGGGTACGGGTTTTGCCGTGCAATCCGAGGTTGAGTCGGCCCCCCCGGCCTCGGCCAGCCCATGTACCCGATGTACCCGATACCGTGTGACGTCCAGAGGGTACGAAATGCGACCACCATTCTTTATCCGCCTTGGGCATCAGTCCTCAACTGGCGTTCAGCGAGAAATGACGGTATTCGCTACTCCTGCGCATGCGCGCGCATGCGCAGTAACTAAAACCTCAAAACCCAGTCGGTGGCAGCGTTCGCAACTAGCTCATGGAGGTCTCGTGCCTGTAATCTGTAGGGACGTGAGCTACCTCTCACTGCCCTACCTCTAGTTAGGGCCCCATCCTAAACTCGTTTTTTCCGTGTATCTGTGATACAATCTGCAAGCAACTACCTATCTTTGGTCTTCTTCCCTCATCGTTAACGAAGGCCAAAAATATGCTTCAGACTGAAATTTTCGATTTTTCTTTCAGGAAATCTGATGTACATATTTAAGAGAACCGTTTAGGCTATACCCAAAAAGCTCAAAAGTATACCGTAAATAATCGTTTCGAGATCACAACTTTTTTAAGGAATAAGTACGTGGTGGCTGGCGGCTAGAGAGAGCAAAGTTTGAATTTCTAAAAAGGTCGTAGGGCCTGTTGTGACTTATGCTCGTTCCAATCATGTCTATGCCATATTTGTGAAAATCGGATTCACAATACTTGTGAGAAAGTCTTTTATCCTAACTCACTACGTGAACTTTATTCTCGAAAATTTTGACCTACGATCATATCACATTCTCCTTTTTAAGTTAAATAAATTATAATCGAGGAGGACTTTTTGAAAAATACAGTTTCGTTCCTCTTCATTGAAATTTGTTCTAATACCTTACCTCAGCCTCAGCCTCACCCTCATTGGCATTAATTAGTGCAGGAAAAATGCACAACACACACAAAACACAAAATAGTAGTGGAAGTCGTACTGACATATTGTCTACCAACTGACTCTGCTGTTCGATTCGCGGGCTCGAGGACTTATAAACCTACCTGTTTTTTCCTACAGAAACATGTTTCCCTCACCAATGTACTTCCAGAGAACGATCGGAAACCCTATAAAAAATCAGTTAATAAGTCATGCATTGGGATTGCATCCGAAATTAACAGGTGTTTTCAAATCACAATGAGTTAAGCGGAATATCTGCACGCAACAATTGATTATTCTTTCTTATGAGTATTACATCTATGACTCATTTCCATCGACGCACAATGAGTCAAAAAGTAGCTCCTCAGATCCCTCAATCGGAGTGATTATAAGAGTCACGTAGAATCAGGAAAAGGGCCGTTTATAAAGTAAGTAACCCTCCAGATGGAAAGGAGGCCGATGAGAGCGGTACGCCGTACACGGAAAAAACGAGTTTAGGATGGGGCCCTAACTAGAGGTAGGGCAGTGAGAGGTAGCTCACGTCCCTACAGATTATAGGCACGAGATCTCCATGAGCTAGTTGCGAACGCTGCCACCGACTGGGTTTTGAGGTTTTAGTTACTGCGCATGCGCGCGCATGCGCAGGAGTAGCGAACACCGTCATTTCTCGCTGAACGCCAGTTGAGGACTGATGCCCGTATGATCAGGTGTCATTGATATGCCGAGAGGGGGAATTGCACTCAAGAGGCGTAAATTCGCTTCCTCATTCATGGGGGCCTCGTGGCCTGGTGGTACCGCGCTGGTCTACCATCTCTGCGATGCGGGTTCGAATCCATGCGAGGGCACGGATTTTTTACGCTTCGCGTCGATATGCAGGTAGGGCTGGACCCTACCTTCAGCTTGGGCCTGACCCTCCGAGGTTTAGGTGAAGCAATTTCACCTACCCGGGTTTGGGGCCGGGCCCTGCGCCGCAGTACCCGATCCTAAACCCGTTTTTTCCGTGTATTTTTTTTACATGTTAAAGGATAGGGACCCTTGTCACAAGAGCGTTACAAGGGAGTCTAAAATGCCGAAAAAGTGCGTTGCGTAATTTACGAGCGCTTCCAAAAGAGAGTGTGGAGAATCAGAGGATCTGGGAATCGGGACGACGATACCTCTTTCTCGTATTTGTAAAGCGTAATATTTCGATGAGTTCAAATTATTTCCAGGCCTGGCCTAGATGACATACTGAGGTCAAAAGTTGTTCAAGTTGCATGCCAAAAAATGAGCTTAAGTTCATTATGTTGGATTATGCGCACGATTCAAAGCGTCCTGATGCGAGTTTGGTGTGGCATAGTCTCACGTTTTTCGTGACTAAATTTTGGTTTTTTCGGCACTAAGGTCCATTTTTCCATGGTCGTTCCCCATTTTTGACTTTGCGGAAAAACTACCTTCATGTAACTAAGTAAAAGGAAACTAAAAAATTGTTTCTTTAAAATAACCCTGTTTTTGAAAAATTTTCAGTCAATGAGAAGGATGATCAATTTTTTTTACACCCCACCGCGCACCTATTATCACGTTTGGTCACAAAATTATGAAGACCCATCCCATCCACTCCTTCGAGCGTTACACGATTTATGAACAGCTAGCTCCATGGTTGTCAATCATACCGGATGGTTCAAAACTACGTGGGTTTGGATCAGTGTTCGAAACCCACCGTTGAGTTTTAGGAGCCATGTGGCGCATCAAGCCCGATTTTTAGGCGCAACTGAAGATTTTTTAGGGGTCAAATCGACTTTTTGCCTATTTATTACGGCGCATTTAGTGAAAATTTAGACGCAAGAAGTTTTCGCAACAGAACAAGTAAGTAGTTGTATCTTGGGGAAGACAAAAACACTAAGAATGAAATCGTGAAGAATAAAAAAAAGCTTTCACGTGTAGTCCTGAAAATTTTGAGTTTTTTTTTCTATCTTTATGTGTCTTCCTTTGAAAATCCAGATTTTTAGGGGGCAATTTTTGGGGGTCACGTTGGCGCAGAACCTTCATTTTTTAGGCGCCATGGCCGAATTTGTAGGCGCATTTGGCTCGTTGGCGCCTGTAAGTTTCGAACACTGGTTTGGATGAAGGTAACGATGCAATTTCTCGTCTTCGGTCATCATTTTGAGGTTAAAGTGTGCTAAAATTTCGGTACTCAAAGCTTTAATTTTACAAACTTTCAGACAACCTCAAAATCTAAAGATTTCGCACAGAGGTTGGTACTTGAGCTTTAAAGTATGTCAACTTTCTTCAAAATTCACCCCCCCCCCCCATTAAGGTGACGACTGAAATAATAATTTTCCGCCAAACATAAGTAAGAAAAACAAAAACAAATATCAAAACAATATGCTCTTTGATGTCATTTGATGATGAAGAAAATATATTGAGAAATATTTTTCGGTAAAAATGGCGCGCACCATAGTGCCTCAATTTCCATGCCACGTGTTGTTCTTGATTTCACTAAAATTGCACACGGCTCAAGGGTCGCGGGGATTTCAAGAATCGGAGCAAAGATGACCGACTGCTGCCTTACTGATAGCTATTATTCTATGCTTTAGCAGAGATTAAGTTAGGATGATTTAAAATAACTCAACTACTATTTCGTTCAATGACGTAAAAGCCCTCATATCATTTTTTGAGAGACGTGAACTTACTAATTGAGTGAAGATTCACAGCGCTTGAAAAATAGGCGCGTATTCAAGAGAGGAACACGAGATCATGTTCGTTCCGGTGATGGTATTGATGGTTAATTTTTTTTTTTTTTGGGGGGGGGAGGAGGAGGGAGAGGGTAGCAGCAACATTAATTCTTAAGCTTCAAAGTATGTCAACTTTTTTTCAAAATTCGCCCCCCTAACCTCCTCCCTTTAAGGCGATGACTGAAATAAAGACCTCCAAACATAAAAAAGGAAAACGAGAACAAATATCAAACAATATGCGCTTTGATGTTTTATTAGTAGAAAAGAAAAAAAAAACATATTGAGAAATATTTTTCGGTAGAAATGGCGCGCACCATATTGCCTCAATTTCCATGCCTCGTGCAAAAATGAGAGGCTTCCCGTGCAATTTTGAAATTTTCGGCGCAACTTATACCCGCGTGCGATTTCAGTGAAAACAAGGACGATCCTTGATTTCACTGAAATTGCACGCGGGTATAAGCTGCGCCGAAAATTTCAATATTGCACGGAAAGCCTCTCATTTTTGCCTGAAAGCCTCCCATAGAGAATTGGCTTCATGTTCAGGTCTTTATCCATTGAGCTTCCCGTCTTCGGGACCCCTATTTTTTGGGTTCTCGTCTGTCGAATCCTCGTGTCTGGGGTCTCCATCTTTGTGGTCCTCATGCTGAAGGGCATTTTTCATGTGTCCTTTTTTCTTGCCAGGAATCATTTTCCGTACTGCATTCAAACTCCCCTTCATCCATCTCCTTATTTTTCCTGGTTTTACGAGTATTTTTGCTTCTTCTATGCACGTTTTCATGCTTTTCTCTTGTTTTGGTTTGCCAGTCTGATATGGAACATAGAGAAGTCAGGGGGTAAATTTAACCTATTTAAACGAAAGGAACTATGTGCGTTGAGATACCTTTCCGACCTGACAGCGTATCTGCACTATAAGCTCCGAGACCCCCTTTTGCATATCAGGTGACGCTTAGCTCTAGCGTTCTCCCGGACCAATTTTCATGATTTTTGCGGCTATCGGCATTCAATTGTCACTAGATGAGCTCGCTCTATTCAGATTTTGAAAATATGACCTACGTTTTTTTTTATATTATATTAAGTGGTACAGTTGCGAATTCTCCCATTTAAACAATGTAAATTGTTATAATTTATCATTGTTCGTTTGAGCGTTCTACTGGGCCGATCTCCATGATTTTTTCGGTTATCAACGAGTGATAGGCTCTAGATGAGCCCGCTTTAATCAGATTTTGGAGATAGGACCCAGGTTTTTTTTACAATCACGTTATGAAAGAGAGCGAATCTACAGAATGATTCGCAACTGCTGCTGCTATGCGTAGAAGGTTGCGCAGTCGCCGAGTAGCCTGCGCAATGCGCATTACACGGAAAAAAAATTGCTGATTCAACAATTCAATTGCTAAAAACAGTGAATGCAATGTTTCAACGCAGATTTTACAACAAAAAAATGCTACTTTAACTATCCCCGTGGTTAAATTAGTTTACAATTGGTTAAAGTAGCATTAAAAATGCTACTTTAACCATCCCAGTGGTTAAATTAGTTTACAATGTGGTTAAAGTAGCATTTTTTTGTTGTAAAATCTGCGTTGAAGTATTGCACTCACTGTTTTTAGCAATTGAAGTGTTAAATCAGCAATTTTTTTTCCCGTGTAGCTCTATTCTATGAACACAAGATTCACCTCCGGCTAATCAGGTCGTGCGGTGGCCGAGTTGTGTAATGCGTCAAATGCTCCTCCTCAGAGACCCTGAACGTGGGTTCGATTTCTGATACATTGAACGTTCAGTTATGACCTGATGATCATCTTTCGTTATTTTACTGCAATAGTTCAGTAATGAATCATTGCAAAGCGCATCTTTTTGACTTCGAAATGTATTTATCAAAAACAGAAATAATTTCATTCTAAAAGTAAAATATACCTCATATCGTAATTTATTAGGGGAAAAATAAAACCAACACTGGTAGGAGGCTAGAAATATCATAGCATGGTATAATATGAACAGTTTACGTTTTACTGTACTTTTTACACCCACAGGAATCATTTTCAAGGGGATGGGGGTGGGAGGTGAAACAGCCATTAATGAAATACTTCTGGAAAACCCCCATTATACTGCTTTCTTGACCATTTATCGAACAGATAACTCTAAAAATTGGTGCATCAAGCCTTTTTTGCAAGTTCAGAGCCATAGAACTTATCTTATGGCATGAAAAAAAATTATTTATCAACTCATATTGCATCTATTTAAGTTTTCTCCTCAAGAAACATCCTATTTTTGAGAAAAAGCGTATACTGTAACTTCAAAAATTAATGATTGCAGACCAGGAATAACATTTCATGCTTCTGTTTTGGACGGATTTTAGTCTATAGGGATATATTGGATAGAAATGAACCATCTTTTAATTAGTTCCGACAACACATCGGAACCGGACAATGAATGAAAAGTTCAAATACGATTTTCGGAAATCTGCTTTTTTCGCTGTACGCTGTTTGATCGCCATGGTCGGAAAGGTCCTCACGTGCATGACAAGGTCAATGTCCCAATGCATGTATTTCCCTTTGATTAACCATTTCCATTTACAAAAAAGGAGTTACGATAAGATTATCAGTTGACTTATTAATAGATGTAAGTAAGGACATCCTCGATAGAGGGGCCCATGAGGTTTGCAATGCGGCCAGAATTGTGCCGTTTCACGAATCATCTGTAGTGAAATTAATTATTCTGCAGTCAAAGTAAAAGTGAGAAAAGATACAGAGCTCATTTCAGGTAAAAAGAATAGCGCAGCTTGCGAGGGATGGGTCATAAAAGAGCTAAGTCACACAATTTTATAGGCATCCCACTGAAAAAAAACTCTCGGCGTTTTTACCAAGGTCCGTTGGTACCTTTACCATCTCACTTTTTTACCGATTATTGGTAATTTTACCAAGACAGACTGGTAAGCTTACCTAAAAACCGGTATTTTTACTGATTTTTTGCAGGTAAGAATACCTCTTTTATTTGTAATCAATTCCCGGTAACTTTATCTCGGTAACTCTACCACAGTCGTTAAAAAATATTGGCGTTTTTACCAAGGTCCAGTAAAATTACCGAGAAAGTTCAATAATTTTACCGAGATTTCTCGGTAAAGTTATCAATTCCATAAATGGTAATTTTACCAGGAAAAAACTGGAATCAAACAGAACCCTGGATTCTTGGTAATTTTACCGTTTCCTTAGTAAATACACCGACATTTTTTTTTCAGTGTGGGTCGTAAAAGAGCTAAGTCACACAATTTTACAAGCATCCCATGAGCCTTAAGTGGGATATTTTACCGAAGATGTCCTTAATATTAATTCTCGCGGGTGTGGGAACAGAAAAAATAAAGCAACATATAAACTATAGTTGAAATCGATTAATATGTCCCTTTCCTTGACAGTGGGAATTTACTAGGGTAACGTATACAATGGCGTTATTGAAATGCACTTAATGCACACTGAAAAAAAAACTACGGGCATGGAACTGGAAGCCGTAGTTACTGGTTATATGGCACTACCGTCCGTTGCGGGCTGCATGTGAGACCAATTATGGGCGGAGCAGACGTTGCTCCGGCCTCTGCCCCCGGAGCAGTCGGAACTACGGCTCCAGCACCCAGAACTCCGAGCCTCTGAACATGCAAACGGACGGTAGTGCTATATAACCCGTAACTACGGTCTCCACGCTCGCAGTTTTCCTTTGTTTCATTTTTTTTTTTTTTTTTTTTAATCACTTAGTTATCGTGAGTTTTCACACCTCGCCATCACGAAACATGCAGACGTCGGTGTAGGTGCAGGTATAGTCATCCACAAAGGCGCAAAGGTCACGTTTCTTCTTAGGTAAACCTTTGAACAGGCGCATTGCTTCACGACAGCTGTCCATTCCACCATGTTGACATGGATCGTTGTGGTAGAATTCAAGTAGTTTCTCCACCCGCGTCTTATATGACTGAAACCATAACGGTAAAAAGTCTTTCCAAATTTTTCCAGACATATGTGGTAGAATGTTCTAGTGACGTGTTCAAAAACTTCAGAATAGGAAAGATATGAATCGTGTCACATAGACTATAAAGTTAGGACGAATCGACTGGGCTTAGCAGAAAGAAACGAATTTTACGGATACTTTTATAAAACTATTTATCTACAAATAACAACACAAACGTCGTTTCTGAAATAAGTTGTTTTTTAGAAAAATATATATATGTATCCTCTCTTTACCAAACCTTTTATAAAAGGTAGATATGGGCTTGACGAGTCAGGTATGTCAATGTCATAATACCATGTTCTAAAAGTTCATACATGTTGGCTGAAAAATACCTCGAAAGAAGAGTGATGGAGAGATCACTTTTCTGTGCTAGAGCTTCCTATAAAGCTGAAAGTATGTCTAATAAGAACCGTTGTACCGAATTGATCCGGTTTTTTTTTTTTTTTTTTTTTTTATTTTTTTTTTAGCTAACTTTTTCACTGGCCCTCGACCATTGTATGTGTAAGTGCACCCTCCTCACCTTTCGTATCACCTCCATAAAGGAAGAGCACCACATGTTAAATTAAACAAATTCAATGCAGAAAATTATTTCTCAAAACATTTTAATGTTTCATAGAGTCCAGGCAATCATTCATCTTTATCAATATCTGTGATGCAATCTGCAAGCAGCTGCCTTTGGTCTTCTTGTCTCATCGTTAGGGAAGGCCAAAAATGTGTTTTAGGCTGGATTTTCGTTTTTTTTCTTTCAGAAGATCTGATGCACATATTTAAAAGAACCATCCAGGCCAAACCCAAAATTTAGCTCAGAAGCACCGCAAATTATCGTTTCTAGAGTATAACTTTTTAAGGTGATACGATGAACGCCATATTTTGTGTCAGAACGGCATGCGATATATCGCATCAATTGGTTCCATTTTTTCAGCTACTCGTCATTTTTCTCCAATTTTGAGATCGCAATTACCAATTTCAACAAAGAAATTCAACGTATTAAAGGCGTGATTTTTCTAAAGAGAAATAAATATCACATTCGAGTGCAGTTTCGATATCAGTATCGAATGCGATGTTGTCTCTCTGAAAAAACCACGCCTTGAATACGTTGAATTTCTTTGTTGAAATTGGTGAGTGAATGCTTTAGTCTCCTGACAACAGAATTGCGATCTCAAAATTGGGGAAAAATGACGAGTAGCTGAAGAAATGGAACCAATTGATGCGATATATCGCATGCCGTTCTGACACAAAATATGTCGTCCATCGAATCACCTTAAATGGCAAGGCGTGATTGGTCGGCTATGTCTTATCGCTATTTTGTCGTGCTTTGTCGATTGGAATGGACGACCAACTAAAGGCACCTCTTGAGTTTCCGACAGTGTGTCGTTTATTCCAATCGACAAAGCAGCGATAAGACGTAGCCGACAAATCACGCTTCGCCATTTAATCTATGCCATCCATGTCCATACGACAAACACAAAATGTCAACAATCAGGCTGCTATGTTCTGACTCATATGCTGTCAAAACCTGAGCGGACAATAAACACTAGTTCCGTACATGAAAAATGAAAGTCCTGAGTACGAGGGCTGTCCCAAAAGAAACCGGACTTTTGTCATAGAAGGCGAACCGAGCGTCGTAATGAAGTTTTCTTGGGCTTGTTTGAAAGCTGATAAGCTATTGGAGATGCTTGTTTTTACAGAATGCAAAAATTCGTCTTGGTAAGGAAACTACACGCTTTGGAATAAAGGAAAGTCAAACTCGAGTTGCGATTTTTGTCTTTATTTCAAGAAAAATTTGGATACAACTTAAAAATAAACCCAGGTTTTAAGTTAAAAACTTCGTTGCTCTCTTATTCAAATGCTTAAAAATAAGGAAATTAACATTTTAAGCAGCTTACCAAGTCATCACCTATCCCCTTCAAAATACTCGCCAGCTTTGTCGATGCATTTTTGCCACCGTTTCTTCAATTGGAAGAAAAACTGTTGGAAATCCTCAGGTTTGAATGATCGCAATTCCTTCAAGGTGTTCTCTTGAATTTCCGGAATGGTTTGGAAACGTCGACCTTTCAAGGTAGATTTAAGTCGTGGAAATAAAAAAAAATCACACGGAGCCAATTCCTGGTTTCTGCATCACGATAATGCACCTGCCCATGCATCCCTCCGAATTCGCGAATTTTGTGCAAAGAATGCCGTGAGTGTCCTCCCTCATCCCCCTTATTCACCTGACCTGACTCCGTGTGATTTTTTTTATTTCCACGACTTAAATCTACCTTGAAAGGTCGACGTTTCCAAACCATTCCGGAAATTCAAGAGAACACCTTGAAGGAATTGCGATCATTCAAACCTGAGGATTTCCAACAGTTTTTCTTCCAATTGAAGAAACGGTGGCAAAAATGCATCGACAAAGCTGGCGAGTATTTTGAAGGGGATAGGTGATGACTTGGTAAGCTGCTTAAAATGTTAATTTCCTTATTTTTAAGCATTTGAATAAGAGAGCAACGAAGTTTTTAACTTAAAACCTGGGTTTATTTTTAAGTTGTATCCAAATTTTTCTTGAAATAAAGACAAAAATCGCAACTCGAGTTTGACTTTCCTTTATTCCAAAGCGTGTAGTTTCCTTACCAAGACGAATTTTTGCATTCTGTAAAAACAAGCATCTCCAATAGCTTATCAGCTTTCAAACAAGCCCAAGAAAACTTCATTACGACGCTCGGTTCGCCTTCTATGACAAAAGTCCGGTTTCTTTTGGGACAGCCCTCGTAGAAAAAACAGGCATTACGCTTTGGGACACGTAAACCAACAAATCCATTCACGATATATAAACATGCCAAGTCCATCATAAAGCCAAAGGCAGTCAAATATGGTCCTAAAATGTTGAAAAGATGGATATGGGATGTGGACAGGGTGGCTAAACTTTTATTTGTATTTGTATAATTGGACAACCTTAAGGCTAGAGTCAACTTGGACGATCGCCTAAAAGACGGACACGGAACAGCCTTTCATCTATCTATACTATAAGCTCCGAGACCTCCTAATTTTGCGAAACTGGTGACGCTTAGTTCCAGCGTTCTACCAAGCCGATTTTTATGATTTTTGCGGCTATCGACGGGCAATTGTCTCTAGATAAGCTAACTCTTTTCAGATTTTCAAAATATGGCCCAGGTTTTTTTATATTAAGTGGTAAAGTTGCGAATTCTCCCATTTAAACAATGTAAATTTGTATTTTTTGTCATAGTTCGTTTGAGCGTTCTACCGGGCCGATTTCCAAGTTTTTTGCGGTAATCGACGGGTAATTGGCCCTAGATAAGCCCGCTCTATTCAGATTTTGGAAATAGGACCCAGGTTTTTTTACAATCACGTTATAAAAGTGAGTGAATTTTCAGAATGCCCCGAGACTGCCACCGCTATGCGCGGGAGGATGCGCAGTGGTCGAGGAGGTTGCGCAGTAGCTGTGTAGCCTGCGCATCAGCTCTACACTTATCTACACGAGATTCGCACTGACTACCTCAAATCGAGCGGTGGTCGGGTCGTTAAAGACGTCGGAAGCGTTCTCTCAGCTCTTGGTGCGGGTTCGATCCCCGTCTCCCGATTCACTTAATTATTACCTGATTATCAATATTAGTTGTTTTACTGCAATATTTCATCAAGCAGTCATTCCAAATCGCGCCCTTTAGACTTCAAAAAAAATGTTTGTTTCTTTATTCATCAAAACAAAAAATTATTTCATTCTAAAAGTAAAGTATACCTCATATCGTAATTTTTTAGGGGAAAAATAAATAAAACTAACACCGATAGGAGGGTAAAAATAGGGCCGCGAAGCGGCCCATTGATGGCGCGAAGTGCCTTCAGGGGGTTGGGCCGCGTAGCGGCCAGGGGGCGTAGCCCCCTAGTTTCCTTATAATCAGTAAAACTCAAGAGTGAAGACTGGACAACCAGGGTTCTAGACATAGTCTAAAAGAGGGACGAAGATTCAGTACATTTTCGACAAGAATTGTTCTGCAGCCACTATACTTGTCGTTTCAATCAAGTTCATGCCTTCTCGTGAAAATAGGATTCAAAATACTTGTGAGAATGTCTTCTATCCTAACTCACAATATGAACTTTATTCTCAAAATTTTGACGTACAATCACCATATTCTCGTTTTTCAGTTTATCACCTTAAATTTACAATCGAGGAGGACTTTTTGAAAAATACAGTTTCGTTCCTTTTCATTGAAATTTGTTCTAATACCTTACCATTTTCTTACCCTCACTGGCATTAATTAGTGCAGGAAAAATGCACAACACACACAAAACACAAAATAGTAGTGGAAGTCGTACTGACATATTGTCTACCAACTGACTCTGCTGTTCGATTCGCGGGCTCGAGGACTTATAAACCTACCTGTTTTTTCCTACAGAAACATGTTTCCCTCACCAATGTACTTCCAGAGAACGATCGGAAACCCTATAAAAAATCAGTTAATAAGTCATGCATTGGGATTGCATCCGAAATTAACAGGTGTTTTCAAATCACAATGAGTTAAGCGGAATATCTGCACGCAACAATTGATTATTCTTTCTTATGAGTATTACATCTATGACTCATTTCCATCGACGCACAATGAGTCAAAAAGTAGCTCCTCAGATCCCTCAATCGGAGTGATTATAAGAGTCACGTAGAATCAGGAAAAGGGCCGTTTATAAAGTAAGTAACCCTCCAGACGGAAAGGAGGCCGATGAGAGCGGTACGCCGTATTTTTTTTACATGTTAAAGGATAGGGACCCTTGTCACAAGAGCGTTACAAGGGAGTCTAAAATGCCGAAAAAGTGCGTTGCGTAATTTACGAGCGCTTCCAAAAGAGAGTGTGGAGAATCAGAGGATCTGGGAATCGGGACGACGATCATAGGCGGTTCTAGACCTTCATGTTCGGGGGTGCCCAGAGGTGGAAAATGTCGGGGACCGGCTCCAAAGGGGACGGTCGCTCAGGGGAGGCCTAATTTCCGGCCCTCAAGTTTTATTCCATTCCTTCCCTCCTTTCTCTTTTTCTCTCCTTTCTTTCTACTTAAATACTTATAAATTCAACGTAGAAAATTTTTAGCAAAACTTTTCACCAAAACTGCATTCTTACCATAAAAAAAAACAGTATAATCTTTGTAAAACACGGCTATCAATATTAATTCTGTTTAAAACATTTTCAATTAATTGCCGGGATTTTTTTCAGTGTGAGCGAATACAGAATCTTTAGAAGCAGTAATTTGGTCTTTTTTAGATCAATTTTCAGATTTAAAAAATTCATGAAATAAAAATATTGCCAATTTTTTAAGCTTCATAATACGATTTTTTCTTGACGTGTTTACTTGCCCAAAAGCCTCTTTCACGGTTCCAGTAACCGTACTTAATTTTTGATTGGGGGTGCCCGGCACCCACTGGCACCCCCGTAGAACCGCCTATGACGACGATACCTCTTTCTCGTATTTGTAAAGCGTAATATTTCGATGAGTTCAAATTATTTCCCAGCCTGGCCTGGATGACATACTGAGGTCAAAAGTTGTTCAAGTTGCATGCCAAAAAATGAGCTTAAGTTCATTATGTTGGATTATGCGCACGAATCAAAGCGTCTTGATGCGAGTTTGGTGTGGCATAGTCTCACGTTTTTCGTGACTAAATTTTGGTTTTTTCGGCACTAAGGTCCATTTTTCCGTGGTCGTTCTCCATTTTTGACTTTGCGGAAAAACTACCTTTATGTAAGTAAGTAAAAGGAAACTGAAGAATTGTTTCTTTAAAATAACCCTGTTTTTGAAAAACGTTCGGTCGATGAGAAGGATGATCAATTTTTTTTTTACAGGTATAGTTTTTTAAAGTTCAAGATGTGAGGTAAAGTTCCAGAAAATAGACATTCTCAAATGAAGACAAAGGGCAAGTTTCTTCATTCTTTCTCTTTAAAATATGCCCCAGTATCTTATTTACTTCAGCAGTAACAAACCTGGAGAAAATTTACAATGCACACAAAATGCTAAATAATGGCGGTGATACTTCAATCATCACATATGTGCATCACGCGTGTAACAGAAAGGAACCAAGCCACATCGGCTATTGCTAACTTTAACTGTTTACTAAATTTTTTACGGGAGAACGTTTGTGCGGATTCTCTAGAAAATGTTGAAGAACTAGGGAGCTCTGCCCCCTGGCCGCTACGCGGCCAACCCCCGGGGTGCTGCGCGTCCCCAAACGCCGCTTCGCAGCCAGCGAAAGCGCCCGTTGTCGGTTAATGAGGAAATAATTTCAATTGAATAACAAAACGGTGTTTCAAAGAAAAATTTTTCGCCAAACAATATTCTCAAGTACTTTATCCTTACTGTAAATTTTGATTCCTTTTCTGGAAGTCGACCTTGACAGGGCCACATATAAAAGTTGTCCATGACTAAACAAAGGCCTCTGATAGTAAAAGACCCTGTCTATTAAAACTCTGACTTTTGAACTCCCCCTTCCTCACTCCTGCTCATCGACCGTCTTACTTCCCTTCCTCACCCCGTCCATCGAGCGTCTTAAAAGTGATTTTATTAGAATTTTAAAGAATTTGCTTCGTACTATAGAATAATTTCACTGAAATTTGCACGAAAATTCGCAGAATCATTTTCATGTAAAAAATTAAATTGCCCGATAAAATTTGGGAATAGCTGATGTGGCTTGGTTCCTTTCTGTTTAACGCGGTCCATATTATCCTAGATCGGATTCAACTGTTCGGTTTAGCGACTCCAGGTGTATTTAAATTTTCAGGAAAAAGTTTTCGAGAGAAAATGTTCTGAGGAAAATCCTTTCACCATCAAGGTGGATTCAAGAGACTATTGTTGCAAGTAGGCAAAAGAAGTTTAATCGCAACGGAATCGCTGTGTGGGTAGCCTTTTTTTGCATGTTTTCATCAATTCAGAACTCTCAGGTAATCAGATAATGCCATGCATCATGCTCTGACTGCAATTGAAATCGTGTTGGAAATTAAAAGGTGTTTCAGGACCCATAATGAGTTGAGTGAGGTTGTTACACGCGACTATTGTGTTTTTTCCCTTTCTTCGAAAATATGAAGCTAAGACGTATCTACAATGATCATACTTTCAATTAGGTACACAAATAAGGAATGAGCATATGAAACACTGCTAGCAATGATGAATACTATGCACTTGTCAATACTAGCGTCTACTAATAAGTCTACTAAAAAGGATTAATACTGAAAAGTCAATCCTAGTACAAGCTACTACTCTCGAGCCGCTCAAATTGCCCGATCAATTTTTTGAAGGCAAAATGGCTAAAGCGCGGAGCTATAAAAGGAAGTGTGGGATTACATTTTGTATACATAAGAACATGTTTTGTTGTGAGGAACAATTTCCGGCTCAGTTTAGAAACACCGTGTGTAACATCAGTTTCCCTATGCAGATGAGTGTTTTTACAGATGAGGCAGAAATTGTTGTTCCTAAATGCATAATGCAGTCCAATTTATACTTTTTATGTGCAACTTTTATTGAAGTGCTGGTACTGAAGTGCTACAAGCAGGGATTCCCACTTTCAAACCGTCCAGGTTACTGAAAGCAAAACTGGTCGAAGTAGGCATGAAACACTGCACTGCTGCAAAGACAGAATGAGCTGGTCTAAACAAGTGTTTGCTTCCATGATACTCACATTGTCTAGTTTTTGACGGCGAAATCGCTACAGCAAAAGCGTTTCAGGCACTTTACGCAGCAACCGATATAGGCTAGAAGACTGCTGGAGCCCGTTTCAGATAACTTGTCACTTTTTTTTCTATAATGAGCGGATTCGGGAATTTCCCATTCCGGGAGGCCAGGGAAATTATTTGAAACGGGCAATACTAACTATGTGACTACTGTTACAAAGACCCCTAAGTGTTCCCTCTATGGTATGCGAGTTGAAATTGCAACCTTTCAAAGTATCGCTCTGAAAGAAGGAGGAGTTTTACAAGGTCTGTAATCAATAAAACAACAATTAACACTCATAAATCTGGAGGGTTCAAAGGCACCTCAATCTGGGAGAAAGGAGCTTTGTGCCTCCGCTGAAATATATCGAGAGTCGCATTTCGATATAGATCGTATTCGATACATGAAGCAGGAGAGATTGTATCGAAATTGATAGGTTCAACATGTAAACAGGTCCATCGTGATTGATTTTTTATTCTTTCAATTACCTAATGGCGATGAAAAGTGAAATTGTTAGGAATTTTGTCATCTCCAGCTTTTCCAACTTAAATTCTGAAATTTTTGTTTGAGGTTATGCTCTATTATTTTGAACCAAACGATACATCGAACCACTATCGAATACAATCCACTCTCGGTCGGGAGTTCGAGAGAAAAATCTCGATGACGCGCGTGTCACGAGCCCAAAGGAAAGAGGGTCGGAGCAGCGCGAGGACACAAAAGAAAGTTGGCTATGGAAATAAACTTCTAATTTTCCAGTCAGTAGGAGNGGGGGGGGGGGGGGGGGGGGGGGGGGGGGGGGGGGGGCAGCAGGAAGCCGCGCTCTCGAGAGGGAAAACTTCCGCTTTGAAGGAAGGAAGTTTTTGATAAAAATCGGCCGATTTGCTTGGGGAAGGGACGGAGACAGGGACAGACAGAGCCACGCCTGCTCAAAAGCGGAGACAAAGGTCAAGCTGAGAACCCTGCAGTGTCGCCTTTCATTAGTCTCCGTCACATAAAGCGAGCTCCCGCGAAAAGTATGAGTCTATTGCGTCTTTGCATACGCGCGCGACTGCAATTAAAGCCCCCCTCCACCGGCAAGTTGATCGGGAGGGGATCTCCACACACTGTGGCGATGTGCAAAGGAGATGGAGATGTTGCATGTGTGAGGGATTTGCGATTTGACTGTTGATTCTTATGTAAAAGTTCGCGAGAAACACGATGGTGCCACTGGTTTTCTCTGAAATCATCTCCCAAGCTTAAAAAAAGCTCTCAAAGTTAGGCCAAAATGGAGGGGATATCCCACCCTACCTGGAGAGTCCACCTCTGCATCAAAACAAACTCTCCGTGCAAAGATAGGGAGCAAATACATTAGCAGTGATGCCGTGTTTTCAGTTTTGGAGTCCCCAAATAAAGTGGCAACCCTGCCGATGTATTTGCTCCCTATATCTTTGCATGGAGAGTTTGTCTTGATGTAGAGGTGGACTCTCAGGGTAGGGTGGGATATCCCCTCCATTTTGGCCTCAACTAGAGAGCTTTTTTGGAGCTTGGGAGTTGATTTCAGAGAAAACCAGTGGCACCATCGTGTTTCTCGCGAACTTTTACACAAGAGTCAACGATAAAACGCAAATCCCTCACACGTGCAACATCTCCATTCGAGTGGTCATTCTTGCAGTGTAATGAAGAGATGTGAACTGTCCAATGGAGAATTTG